GTGAAAAATATAAAAAAATGTTTGAAATATTCGATTTAGGCTCCGAATGGTGACAGCGGGCTGGACGGTACGGCACAAATATATTAAAAAGTGCGGTACGGTTTAAGTACGGTGCATACCGGAGAAACGCACCATACGGGATGAAAGCGGTTGGTGTGGGATAAGCGGTGTGGAACAATTTTTGAATGGTGATAATTAAAAAATTGTGCATGTATATTAGCAATCAAATTTAAATTATTTTTTTTAATATTGTTTGGATTACCAAAATATTTTTTGATCAAATAAAACTGTATCAAATACATACGTAAGTTTATCCAAAAAAATTAGATTTTTATAAACTAAAAGAAAAAAAAAATTGAAACGCATCTATTAATACATCAACCATACCTTTATTGGTATTATTGAAATGCACTTGCGTTCTAAACAAACGAGACCAACATTTAAAGATTTAAATATTTTGACAAGAAAAAAAAAAATTAAAATATTTTAATATTAAGTGTGTTTTCCTTCCCATACTTTATAAAATAACGTAAATGGATGCTTTTTATCAGAACGTTCTGTCCCGCTTCCCAAAGCGGTGCACATTCATAATTAGTTAATTCATTTACTGTCGTCTCGAGAAAATTTATATTCGTAGTGGACCGTGGACGACTCTAGTCGCATTGTATCGAGAGACTCATGTGGCGGCTCAAGGTCGATGATAATGTCATTTCAGAGATCTACAGTGAAAAAAGTAGCTGATGAAATGATTTACATGCGAATATAATATTCCTTGTGGAAAAAAAAGAATAAGAAAAGTATTCCTTGTGGAATTCTATCTCATTATTTTATGAACGTAAATATACTTTGCATGAATATATTAAACTACGTTGCATCAAATTTCAGAATTTGAAATTCAAGATTGACTCGGCAAAAAAAAAATTAAAAAAAAATCCAAGATTGACTAGTTATGAAGAATATTTCAGTTGGTCTAGTTGGTCAAATAGCCTGGTTTCTTAACAGCAACAAGAAAAAAAAGGCAGTTTAGC